CTTTCGCGGGCGCCTCTCGGGCCTTGCAAGCTCCGAGCCGAGCCAGGCTTCGGCCGACCTGCCCACGCGCTCCGCCCCACGGAGGGAGGAGAGCAGCCCCGCAAGAGGGGCCTGGCGCTGGGGCCCAGGGCTGGCCTGGGGGGGCGGTGGCAGGCAGGCGGCGCCCCTCCCGCGAGCACTGCGCCCCAGAGAAGGTGCGAGAGCGCGCAGAGCAGGCCTTCCCTGTGGCGTGCCCGCCCGATCTTTGGATTGCAACTCCCAATACCCTTGGCCCCTCGCCCTCCTGCCTGGGGCTGATGGAAGGGGTAGTTGACAACATCTGACCCGCTTCTAGCTACAGCAACAGCACCCCCCCCCCCCCATCATCTTACAGTGAGGATGGCAAACTCCAGGTTTGCGGCATCTGCTGGGGCTTGGCAACATCCCAAGAGTCGCCAAGTGGATGCAGGCGAAGAATCACGGGGCCTTTCACACGAACATCCGCAGCTTGCCTCCCTGGCATTCATTTTCTGTAGCCAAATTGCAGGGAGCCCTAGTTTTCGCTCTTGTCAGACAGCAAGTCAGACCCCCTTGCCAGTCTACTGCGACTCACTGCGGGGGGCCACAGTCGTGGGCCGTGGGCCGTTGGCCTCCTGGACATGGCTTTTGCACCTGGCAACCCCTTGGCACCTGCCCCTTTGAGACTGCCAACAGCCAGGGGGCTTGCTGGGCAGTTGCAACAGGAACGCATGCTGGTAAGTTGCGACGGAAAGACCTGTGGGCTGATCTGCAGTGCCAGAGTGGACGGCACCCCTGGGTCCTATTGCAAACTTTCGAAAATGGGTTCCATTCTTTAAATTTCGGGGCAGCTTTTCATTGTGCTTCTGTGACAGGGGGGGCACGCAGGGACATACACATCGCTGGTGTGAAGCGATGGCTCTCCGCTGTCACCTCCACTTGCTGAAACACAATTGCCCTTCCCCGTGCCCAGTGGCAGGCGCTGACGTGAGGACTGCTGGCAGCCCGTTGTCCCCTCTGTGGCCCACTCACAATCCGCTGCTGCCTGGAATGTTCTGCGCAGGCGGCTTCGTTGCAAAGGGTGCTGCTGGCCGGGCGGACAGTTCGCGTGAGGCGGCCTTCCCCTGCTCGGCACTCTAGATGCCTCCAGCAGGCTGTTCATGCAATCAAATCTGCACAAGCGGGCACCACTAGACCCAAGAAAGGCACGATCCTATGCCTCTGGACGGCCAGAAGTCCAGCCCAGCTCCCTGGGGGATGCTAGGAGCTGCAGGACCCCCTTTCTGTCTCAAGATGCTGAATTTTGCCCTCGTTCATTTGTTTGTTCATAGGATGCGTTAGGCCCAGGGTGATCTCTCTGTCTGACCTAACGGGGTTGTGGGAAAGGGGGGGCATGGTTCTTTCGTGGGGCAAACTGTTGTAGATCATTGGGAGAGGAACCACTTAGCATGCTGTGCCACGAGGGGAGCTTTAAATGGGACGCATTTTGGATGCCTCCAAATCGGCAGGGCCTGCGGCTCCTTCTGGAGGCAACCTCACTGGCCGTCCTGCCCTGCCCTGCCCTGCCCTGCCTCACACCGCAACGCTTCCCTTGCAGGCCTGGCTGCAGTTCTATGGCTACCTCCCGCAGGCCAGCCGCCAGATGTCCACGCTGCGCTCAGCTCAGATTCTCTCCTCGGCGATTTCGGAGATGCAGAGCTTCTACGGCATCCCTGTGACGGGCGTCCTGGACGAAGAGACAAAGGCGTATGTCCTGCCACCTCCCTCCTCCTCTTGTGGCCCGAGGACACGTGTGGGAGGCCACAGAATTGGTTCCTGTGGCAAGCGAGGCCACGGCTGGGTATGGTGGGCGCTGCCTTCCCTTAGGATGCGCCAGTCCTTCCTCTCCCTTCTCCTGTCCCTTTGCTGCTGCTGTTGCCACCGAAAGTGGCATTTGGGGCTGTGATCCTGCACTGGCCTCTAGTTGCACTTGCGGAAATCAAGCATCGCAAGCCTTCTGCCGCGTTGGAAAGCTGACGGGGGGTGCATGCCAGGAATGTGGTTAGCGCAGAATATTTCTGGGGCCTGAGAGTGACCAATGCAAGTACTGACATGTGTCTTTAACAAAATGCGGCCTACGTTTTCCTTGGCTTTACTGAAAGCAAAACATAAATGTCTTGGTGTCGTATCTGCCTGTCAGATTCTGCTGCAAAGCTGCTGGAAACGTACGCGTTCCTCAGAGCAAAAGCATCCCGTTTGCATCTGCCTGGCGATGCACACGGGAGAAAGCCCTCCCCCTCCCTGCTTTCTCTCACATCCCTGGCACGAGCGAAGCAGGGAACTAATTCTTGAAACACTGCAAGTTTCCTGCTTGCTCCAGTGAGGAGGGTCTTCTGCGAGCTGCTCTCTCTCCCCGTCCTGCACTTAGTCTCTGCTCCCCGGCTGTCTAACCTGCAGGTGGATGAGGTGGCCCCGCTGTGGAGTCCCCGATAAGATTGGCGCTCGAGTCAAGGCTAACATGAGGCGGAAGCGTTACGCGCTGACGGGCCGGCGGTGGAGCCAGGCGCGCCTCACTTTCAGGTAGGCACCGCTGTTGCCGCCGCCGCTCTGCCTGGGGAGGGTGCAGGGCACAGCAGGGACACAGCGGCTCAGTTGTGCCCATTCCTTAACTTCTGGCTCTCAAATGTGCCCGGGGCCACTTTGTGTAAATTGTATGCCCGTCGTATTGTAAATTGTGAGTGCGATATTTGGAGTTCACAGAATGTGGATTATTTGAATGTGGTGGCTGAAGGTCAGGAGGGACAGAGGGAGTGGGGAAGGGGTGGAGGCAGCCATTAGGCGCTCGGGAGCGGAGCCTAACGGGGCGGAAGTCCTGGCACCCTCCCTCTGGCGCTCGGCTGAGCACTTCCAGGACTTCAGCAGGGGCTGCCTTACGCATCCTGACTTTTCTCTGCAATCATGAGTGCTAGAAACTTGTCTGAAGAATAGGAATTTGAAAGGAGGGCAGAAAGTCTGCCCATTGCTAAGGTCACTTTGTTGGTGCAGATGTTGCGTAAGTCACGGAAAATTTTGCTTTGCATTCTAAATGGAAGATGGTGTGAGGGTTCCAATCCGATATGGTAGATGGAAAGACACTTTAGCTGGGTAGCCATAAGTTCCGTCCTGATTTTCCTTGTGCCTGGAATAGCAGCGGTTCTGGATTCCTGGGAAGAAAACACTATTCCGTGAGATTCTCTAGGGCCTTAAGCTGACCAGGTTTTTGTGGCGTGAGCCTTCATGGGAAACAGCCCCATCGTCAGATGTGCCACGGCCCCTGGGCAGGAAGGTGGTGGTGGCGGCGTATAAACCCAAGTGTGGGTTGAGGCACAGTGGAGGAGAGACCAAGCAAACAAGGTGAGGCCGGGAGTGAGATGGGCAGGCGCGTCCTCCCGGCTAGCGTGCAGCACGTGTGGGCCGCCCTCTCCTCTGCCTCTTCTGGAGCTGAGAGAGCCCGGGTGTGATGATGGGAGAAGCCGCTCCTTCGTGCGAGGGAGGCCTCCGCTTCCTCCCCGCTGCCGTGATCTGCTCCGCTTCGTTCAGCCGCCTGTCCCAGCTTCTTTGCCTTCCTGCTGCACTGGACTTCCAGAAACTCGTGGGAGGGGGTCTCACCCTGGCTGCTGAGGCTAATGCTAAAAGACACGTGCGGCAAGAGATGGAAAGGCCTGGGGGGATGGGGGGCGGGTGAGGGAGCCAGGAAAGCCTTCAGGGGATCTATTCCAGCCACAGCCAGAGTCTTCCAGAACATGCGAGGAACTCCTCCTCCCCACCCTTGTTCTGCTTCCTCTTCGTTTTCCCCCAACCCGTCGCATCTGCTGCCCACCCCCGACAGTAACCCGTCTCTGTGTCGCTCTCCCTGCTTCATGCCTCAGCATTCAGAACTACACCGAGAAACTGGGCCTGCTCCACTCCTACGAGGCTGTCCGGCAAGCGTTCCGGGTGTGGGAACACGCCACCCCGCTTGTCTTCCAGGAGATCCCCTACGAGGAAATCAGGCACAAGAGGAAGGAGGCAGACATCATAGTGCTCTTTGCCTCCGGATTCCACGGCGACAGCTCTCCCTTCGACGGGGCGGGGGGCTTTCTGGCACACGCGTACTTCCCCGGGCCTGGAATGGGAGGGGACGCCCACTTTGACTTGGATGAGCCTTGGACTCTGGAGAACGCCGACGTGTCTGGTAAGGAGGCGGCCTTGTGGTGAAAGGGGGAGGGCTGCCCCTGGAAAATGGGGTGGCCCACTAGGCAGGAGCTGGGACCTGGCCATGGGTCAGTCTTTCTAGGATGTGCCTCTGGTCAGCCTGATGGGCAGGCCAGGGCGTCATTTCCTCTTGTTTGGACGGGGCGGGACGGTTCCGAGGAGCGGCTGGTGTGCGGAATCCTCTCAAGGCGGCGGACAAGGCCGGGCGCACTCAGTCTGCACTTCCTGGCATCCCGAGCAAGCAGGGGACATGGGCACTTTGGAAAGGACGGCCTTTTCCGTGGTGGCCCCCAGCTCAGGAACGCTCTCCCGGGGAAGCTTGCTTGCGATCCCCACTGCTCTTTTTGGTGTCAGGCTCAGCTCTTCCTGGCTTGGCCTGTCTTCTAAATATTTTAGCATTTTAAAAATTATTTTAGTTCCTGCTCGTGAGCTGCTGCGTTCAGGCGCTTATGAAAATCCAGGGTATGGTCAAAAGCAGGGCACCCTTGAGCCGTGTCAGAATGAAAATAACGACGTGTGCAAGAGATGCGCGAAGCGGCCTGTCTCACCCTGGGGCCGTGTGGAAGGGCTGTGAGCGGGAAGCGGCCATCTGTCCGCCAGCTCTGCCAGAAGGCATCCTGTAACTGTCTGTCCTGTGCGGCTGAGCTGGGGTGGGGAGGGGAGGGGAGGGGAGGAAGCAGCCCTGCTCTTTCAGCTTTCCTGGAAGGACCGCTGCCTTTCCCTCCCCACATGTTGCAGCTTTCCAGGCAGCCAGGCTTCCAGCAGGGCCTGCCTTCCCAAGTGGGATGCAATGAGCCACTCGGGAAGCCTTTTGGGCTGGCAAGCACGTCAAGGCCCTTCGCAGAAATACATCCCGCCTCCCACGAGGGTTGAGCCACAGGGGGGCATGGGGCTGGTCTCTTCCATGGGCAGAGTGGAGGCATCTTGGACCCCCCAAGGCTCCCAAAGCCCCACGTCTGTCACAAACAGGGAACAACCTCTTCCTGGTGGCCGTCCACGAGCTGGGCCACTCGCTGGGCCTGGAGCACTCCAGCAACCCGGATGCCATCATGGCCCCCTTCTACCAGTGGATGGACACAGAGCACTTCCAGCTGCCGGAGGACGACCTGCGGGGCATCCAGCAGCTGTATGGTAAGTGGGAGCCCCCTCACCCCCCGATAATGGCTTGCCAGAGCTGGGCAGGGATGGGCGCGTTTGGTGCAGTCACGTGCGCTGAAGCTCAGCAGGGGCCCTCGACCGCTCTCGGCCCGAGGGCCAAATGCCGCTTCAGAGAAGCCCTCCGAGGCTGCATTCGGAGGGCTGGCAGGGCTGGAGGCAAAAGGGGGGAGGTTGACCCTCTTCCTGCTAGACCCCAAGCTGAGGAGATGACCTCTGACCTGTTACAGAGAGGGGATTGCTGCACAAAGCTGGGCAAGCACACTGCAGTCGGTGATCCTGAGGAATGGGGGGCGGGGGCAGCGGCCCAGCCTTTGGGGAGACTTGGGCCTGGATTTGTTTGTGGGGCAGGCATCAGGCAAATGCTTCTGCTGCCCCTTTTTCGTCAGGAAGCTTCTCCACGCGTCCTTTTGCTTTCTTTCCTCAGGTTCTCCTGGGGAGCAGCCCAAGCCTACAAAGCCACTTCCCACGGTCGTGCCCAGAAAGCCGGGCCACAAGCCCCCCAGGCCGCCGCCACCTGGCAAGCCCGACTGGCCCCCCCGGCCAGGCAACCCCGACCAATATGAGCCCAACATCTGTGACGGGGACTTTGACACAGTGACCATGCTGCGCGGGGAGATGTTCGTCTTCAAGGTACCTTGCTTCTGTGGTCCCACCCCGGTCGATTCGCTCTGCAGTTGCCGGATCGCGCTGGAGGACGAGATTCTGGCTTCCAGAGCCGCTTGGGAGCAGCTCAGAACTGTTTGTTCGGGTGAAAGGCCTTCGAGAGTAACAGGGATGTGCGCTTCCAGCTCTGTCGCTTCCTCATGGGGCTCCGACATGAGTGGTTCTGCAAAAAGACCAGAGGGTCAGGGCCGCGCGTTTGCAGTCTGTGCAAATGGGAGTTCAGAGTGGCACAGATGGGAGCCTTCCTTCCCCAACCCGGGGCCCACCATCAAGATCAAAGCCCGCACAGAATTGCACAGGTGGTGTGTGCCAATGCCAGGCCTCTTCTGGCCCGTCTTGCTCAGCGCATGCTTTGCACACAGCTGCTTTGTGTGCAGAGGGTCCAATGCTCAGTCTCTGGCCACATTTCCCATTGGAAGGATCCAGTTGTGAAGGATGGAGGAACCCAAGACCATGGCAAGCTGCCCCCAGTGTCTCCGTAGGCAGTGAAGGCCTGGATGCACACCCAGTCTAAGACGCACCTCCCGGGTCTGTGCACGGCCCCTGCTGCTCCCCCCATCCTGCCTGATAATCCCACAGAGACCATTCTTCCCTGACTGCAGCAAAAGAGCCAGAAGCGCCGGGTTGTCCCTACAGGCAAGCCCAATTGTACAAATTGGCGATCCCTGCAGAGGGAAGCTTTCCGCTTTGCGAGCCAGTGCTCGTTCCAGCCTCCCACTGGCTCTTTTCCTGGGCTCGGTGCTGTCAGGTGGGACGCAGCCAGCCGTGGGATGTGGGCCTTGCTGCACGGGAATGTGCGAGTGGAGGAAGGGCAGGGACAGAAGTCAAGGCCGGAAAGATTCGGCCCATCCGAGTTCTCGCTCTTCCTCTTCTTTTCATGCCTTCTTGCTCTTCTGCTCAAGGGCCGGTGGTTCTGGCGCGTCCGCCACAACCGGGTGCTGGACAACTACCCCATGCCCATCGGGTACTTCTGGAGGGGCCTTCCCGGGAACGTTGATGCTGCATACGAGCGGCAAGATGGGCGATTCGCCTTCTTTAAAGGTACGCGCCTTTGGGCGAGGCTGGTGGGAGCAGAAAGTCCAGATCCTGGAACCTGCCGCCCTCCCAAGCTTTGCAGGTTCAACAAACCCATCCAAGTGTTTCTCATCCTCCCTTTCTGACTCGAGGCAGGAAGTGAGAGCAGCAGCTTCTTTCCGGGGTGCGTTCTGGCTCCTCCGCGCCTTATGGATGCTGGCCCCACGAAGCGATGCGGAACCTCCCGCGCGGGCTGTGGAACAGGGAGGCTGCCCAGAGCGGGTTCCAGCACTTTTGCCTTCTAAGCGGGATGTGCTTGGCAGAACATTTAGCAAAGGGCCTGCAAGAGCCTTGACAGCGCGGCGGGGGAAGGCCCCTCCAGAAGTACCTGATGCGCACGCAAGTTCCTGGCTGGGCTCGCCACCCCCAGCAGGGGCTCTGCGGGGGCTCTCCACAGGCCCCTCTCCCGAGGCCTCTCCTCTTTCTTTGTGAGAGACCGCGGGGAGGGCGTGCAGGGGCTGCTCAGCGCATCTGCCGATGACACACAGCTGGGAGGGGGAGCCGATGCCACAGAAGGCAGGGTCAGACTTCCGAAGGATCTAGAGCGGCTGGGACACGTGCCCAAAACCCAGCAAGGCGCTGTTCAGCAGAGATGAACATAAACACCTCGATTGATGTAAGAAAAATCAAAGGCACCTGCCTGGGATGGGGGATGCGGAGAAAAGTTCCTCGGTGTTTTAGCTGATCCTAAGCCGGGCGTGAATGAGCAGCCACACTGTGGAGCTGCTGCGGAAAGCAACATCAGGCTGCCCAAGCCGCAGGGCTCACACCCAGATGATGGGGAGCAGAGTCACATTGGCCCTTGGGTCTGCACTGGCCAAGCCTCATGCAGAGCTCCCAGCACCCCGTCTAGTTCGGGCCGGCACATTTTAGGAAGGACAACGACCAACTGAAGTATCGCCAGAGGGAGACGAATAGGTTGATGCAGATCCAGGCAGGCTGAAAGGGCTGGAATGTTTAGCCTGGAGAAGGGGGCTCATGATAGCAGCTGCCTAACATCTGGCCAGAGAAAGCCAGGCTGCTTTGGGATGGCAGCCAGCCGTCAGGGATGCCAAAGTTGCTGGGGGTTGGACTAGATGACCTCCAGGGACTCACTTGATGGAGGTGGACAGGCAGGATGATGGGCAGTCCTGGTGGGTGCTGGGTTAGCACGCCCACAGAATTGGGCACAGGGGGCCCAGAACAGCCAAGCAGCATCTGGGGTGCTCGGGGGCCCCGGCGGGCACCTGCCCCACTTCCCTCTGTGCCCCCTCTGCAGGGAATCAGTACTGGCTTTTCCGAGAGGCAAACCTCGAGCCGGGCTACCCGCAGCCCCTGACCAGCTACGGGCTGGGCATCCCGTACGACAAGGTGGATGCCGCCATCTGGTGGGAGCCAACCGGGCACACCTTCTTCTTCAGAGGGGACAGGTGGGTGGCAGCACCCTCAGTGGCTGGGCATCCCGACCCGCTCCCCCTCCTTTGCCTTCACTGTTGTGGGGGCTGGTTCTGGGGTGGATTCTTTGCCCGCCCTCTGTCCTGGCTATGCTCCCCCTGCTCCAAAACCGGTCCTGCAGCCGGTGGCTGTTTGTGCGGCCGGTTCCTTTCTTGCTGACATGCCTCCTGTTGCGAGGGGGCCGCCTGCGCAGAGCTGCAGGGAGAGATGTGCAAGAGGAGGGTCCGTCAGACTGGGGGCAGCGGGGAGAGGGGCCCGTTCTCCAGGCAAGGCGGGAGGCGAGGGGAGCCCGAGCCGCCCACCGGGATGCATTCGGACATCTGCAGGAGTGGCCAGGTGGGGCTTTTTGGGTCCTCACAGGGCCTCTCCCTCCGGCAGGTACTGGCGCTTCAACGAGGACAGCCGCACGGTAGATCAAGGTTACCCGAGGAAAATCAGCGTGTGGGCTGGAGTCCCGAACGCTCCCAGGGGGGCATTTTTGAGTCCCGACGCAAGTAAGTGCAACAACTCTGGGTGGGCTGGCGGGCAAAGAAAGACTTTGAGGAGAGGAAGACCAAAGATGTGAGATGCAGAAGACCCGGCTGGCCATTCCACGGAGAAGCCACGAACGGGGGGGAGGGGGCTGTGGGAGCTGCCCCCCAGTGCCTCAGCGAGTTGCATCCTGCTCTTTTCCAGCCTATACGTACTTCTACAAAGGCCGCATGTACTGGAAGTTCGACAACGAGCGGCTGAAGACGGAGCCCGGCTACCCCAAGTCCGTCCTGCGAGACTTCATGGGCTGCCACGAGGAGGTGGCCCCGAACCCTGATCCCGGGCACAGGTGGCCTGACACCGGCCGGCCTCCCTTCACCCCGGGCAGCACCGGGCAGGGCGAGGAGGAGCGGAAAGGCCGTGTGGACGCGCAGCCCCCGGAGGAGGACGCGGATGCCGGCGCGGATTACGGCGCCGGCGGGGGGGAGCGGGGCCACGGGGAGAGCGGAGGGGGCGACGTGGACATCGTGGTGCACGTCAGCGACTACCCGCTCGCCCTGAGCGTGGCCATGGCCGCGGTGCTGCTGCTGCTGCTGCTGGGCGTGCTGGCCCTGGCCTACGTCCTGGTGCAGCTGCAGCGCAAGGGCCCGCCTCGCATCCTGCTCTACTGCAAGCGCTCGCTGCAGGAGTGGGTCTGAGGCCGGCTGCCGCCAGGGCCCCGCAGTGCTCCTGCCGCCTCCCCGAGGGGCGGCCCTGCAGAAGAGGGCGAGGCGCCGTCCGCTGCCTCGTTCCCTCCGGCGCCCTGCTGGCTCTGTCGCCTTCCGCCTGCAGGAGGAACTGCCGAGGCCTCTGGGGATCCCGTGCCTTCCCACAGAGGGCTGCCGCTGCAGAGCGGCTGCGGTTCATGCCTCCGGGGGCGTGCGTGGGCACGTGCCTCCCCCTTGACGTCCTGCAGGAGGTTCCTTCCCGTGGAGCTCGTTCCCCGCCCTTGGATCCAGCACGTGCCCGGGGACCCAGAGCCCCGTGGGCGAGGATGGAAGGACGACCGGCCGGGATGGGGAGGCTGCCTTCCATGGCGGATCCGTCCCGCCCTCCCCGCATGTGCTCCCGAGAGAGTGACTCGCTCCCCGGCTCCGTCCTGTGCTCCTCCAGCAGACGCAGGCTGAGACGCGGAGGGCAGCCGGCTCTCTTCCTGCCAGAACCTGGGGGCCGTCCTTCTGCTTGCTTGGATGAACCTTGTGGACAAGTTGTCCTGATGGGGCTGCGTGTGAACGACTGATATCCTGAAAAGCTTGCCTTTAATTTTTTAAGCCCCCATCTGCACCCCAGCAAGAGCATCGTTGATTGCAGAGCAAGATTTGGGAAACTTTTCTACTGTATTTGCAAGTGCCATTTACTACTGCCGGTATCACTGGAGCCAGGGTTTGGGGCTGGGGGAGCAGCTGAGCCGGGCTCCCCCCCCAGGGGCTCCTGCTCCTGCCAAGTGACTGCTGCCAATGCTTCTTGTTCCCTTTCCGATTTCTCCTTTCTCCGTTGCTCTGGCCCTGGATGGAGATCCCGGGGGGGGGGGGGCCCTGCGGGCAGAATGCCCATCTTGGGGTTCCTGTGGCAAGTGGGGGTGCTGAGCCCTCCCCGTCAAGGGGGACAGCCACTTGGGACTGCACGGGAGGAGGTGGGCTGAGGGCGGCCGTCTGCTTCTGCAGGACCTCCCTGGCGTTGCTGGCCTTCCGCGAGTCGGGGGGGGGGTGCTAGCAAGGGGCCCCTCTGGAGGCGGGATCTGAGCTGCCGGGCCCTATCCCTGGGCCGTGCGGGGCAGAGGACTAGCTCGCACATGGGGTGTGCCCCCCTGGTGGCCCAGCAGGGGTGGCTCCTTCCCTGGGATGCCCCTTCCTGTTTGCAGGCCAGTCGCGAGCATGGTGTCTGTGTGAGCCGCTTGTGCACAGGGAGCGCCTCGAACTCTGTTGCTGTGAGAATGCAGCACAGGCATTTTCCCGAAAGCCGGAGTCCAGTAAGGAATCTGCTGACAGCTTTGCAGCTCTGATCAGAGCCACTTTCCCCAACCCGGCACCTTCCAGAGACACTGGACCGCCACTCCCATCGGGGAGGAAAAATGGCCACAAGGCACGCCATGCCTGCTTCTACAGAGGAAAGAGCAGGGCAGGTCCAGCACCTGCCTTCCCTGCGAAGCGCCTTGGCCCCCTTCTCCTTGCTGGTAAAATTAAATCCCGTATCGTTGAAAATCCAGGAATTGGGAAGCAGCCTGAACAATGCAGTGCAGCTCACTGCGCGCAGTCTGCAGAAGCAGGGCTCAGAGCCGAGTCCCGGTACCCATCTGGCTGCCTGCATGGAGGACTGTGTGCTCTTCTCTCTGGACAGAACCTCTCCACCCCCTTTCTTGGCCAGGACTCTCCCCTCGGCCCATTGCATCAGAGTTCTCTCACAATGGGGGTTCCAGACCAGCTTGGAGACCACCGCTGACAAGCAGGAGGCCCCCTGGCTTGGGCACGGCCTGGCTGTGGCTGTCTGCCCCCGCAGGGCCCTGCCTGGATCCCCCCTCCGCCCTGTGCAGCAGAACCCGGGGGTGCAGGCCAAAGCATGCCGGCGGCAGCATCTGTGCCAAGGGAGGCGCTTGCAGCCCACCCGCTGGGTGCAGGCCTGACCCGCATGCTGCTCCTGTGGGCGGCTTGGCGGGGGCCCACTTGAGCCCGAACAGCGCCCCTTCTTTCCAGCCTGCTTGTGATGCCTTGAAGCTGTGCGGGAACAAGCGCGCTCTTGGGGGCGAGCACGGCCTGGCGGGGCAGCCTCAGCCACAGAGCCGCTTCCCCAGAGGAGGTGACAGCCTCTTGCCCGGAGGGGGGGGGGGGTCCTCCACACCCTGCTGCCGTTGGGCGGTGGCTTCAGCCCCCCAGCCCCTCCCCAGCTGCGGGGCCTGAGAGCCTGGAGCCGCCTGTGGGACGTGACTTCTGGCCTGGGGTGCTTGCACACCAAGGTGTGGAGCTCCATTCCTGCAGCAACGGTTGCAGGATCTGGTGAGGGTGTCCACTCCTACTGGAAAGTGCATTTACTGAGGGGAATGCCCTGAACGTGGCTCCAGGCAGGGCTTGCCAACAGCCGTGCCGGGTGCCAAGTTTGTGTCCGTGTGGAAAAGCTGGGCTGGAGCCACCCCTCTCGCATCTCCAGTCACCCGGCCCGCGAAGGGATAGGCCCAGGTAAAGCAAGTCCCCACGGCTACCGGCCCCTTCTAGCGGCCAATAACCTCATTCTGCTTTCGCGCTCCTGCCTGGAAGTGCCTGTCTGCCGTGTGTTGTCCTGCTTGACAGGCTGCTGTCACGGCTTCTGGGAGAGTTGGGACCGCCAGGGCTGGTCCAGCCCCTCCCTCGTCCTGCGTGCCTTTGCTTGGAGGATGCGAAGCAGCAGCTGGACTGGCGGCGCACCGGGGATGCCCCCGCAGAGCTGTGCTGGGTTCCCCCAAAGGCTTCTCTAGGTCAGGGGCGTTCGGGGGGCTGTTGAAGAGCCACCCTCAGGCACAAACGGAGGAGCAACTCCTGCCCCCCATCCTCAGCGCCTGGTGCTGGGTACCCTGCTGCCTCCGGTGATTGTGTAGCCCGCAGGGCCCAGGGCCTCCCGGATCTTTTCAGCCTGCTGTGTGGCTCAGCAAAGGAGGGCACTGTGCAGAGCTGCTTGGGGAAGGGACCCCCAACTGGTCCATGGCTAGATCTCCTTGGGCAGGGTAGTGTGGGTGCGTGTGCGTGTGTGCGTGCATGCACTGCACCGAAAGCTACAAGGGTCAAGGCTCCAGGTGCCCTTCTGGACTGGCTCCTGTGTTCCCCCTACTTTTCCACGCTTGCTTGCTCTCTCTGTCCAACTGCAGCATCCAGCTGCCCCCCAATAAAGCCTACCAAACCAGCTGCAATTGTGCTCCTCTGTTCATGTCAAAGCCCCCCCCCCCCCCATTGCCTCTGCATGTGTCCAGGGACCCCGAGGGCAGTGGGGATGAACTCCAGTTGCAGGCCTTTGGCTCCTGTCTGGCTTCCTGCTCGGGTGAGGAGGAGCGCATCATGGAGGTCCTTAGAGCTTGCAGAGATGCTTAATTCTTTTTAGGGGTTGATCACACATTGCGCCACCAATATCAATTCCTAGATGACCGCCTAAAGATGCCAACTCGCTTCTGCATGCCTGGAGGTGTTCTCAGCATGAACTGAACAATAATTTTGGGTGTGGGGACTCCAGCATTGTTTCTGATATTTGGATAAAAGATTGATTTCAAGAGGAGCGACATAATTTCATGAGCCCCAAGTCGTACCAGATACGGAGGAGAGAAAGGACCACCTGCTTTCAAACCCAAAAGAAAAGGTGAGGCAGACCTCCACCTGGACCTTCAAAGCAGGCGGTTTATGATGTGTGGATTGCCCAACTTGAGAATCCGGAATCAGGTTTTTTGACTGGGAGGCCAGCATAAGACACACAAGAACATTCTTCCTGTGAAGAACGAGTCGCTTCTCATCAGCACTTTTTCTGCACTTTGTTGCTGGCAAGTTTCTGGGCTTCTGATCTGCAGAGATCTGTCTACTGGCCACATCCTCTTTCTGACATAAGAACATCTAGCAGCTAATGTGAAACGAACAAATGAAAAAGGCAGGAAAGTCATGGATGCACTCAAATTCTTTGTCCAAAAGCCAAATTACTTTTTTCTGAATTGGCAGGCCAAGCTAAGATGCAAGGGGAAAGCTCGCTTGGGGTGGTTGGTGGGTGATGGAGTTACGTTTTTATGTTGTAACCCTTGCAGTCGAGCAGGATACTGAAAACGGCAGCCGCAAAATCGGATGGGGAGTTACAGAAGGACCTCGGGGCTGCTGTCAGGCTCTGGCTGAACGTGAGTCAGTAGTGTGATGTGGCTGCAGAAAAGGCTAACATTTATGATATTTCTATGCCGCCCTCTTTCCTTCCAAGAAACTCAAGGCAGCTTATGTAATCCTCTTCCTCCTCGCAGACTTATCTACACAACAACCCTGTTGGACTGGCCCAAAGTCACTGAGTGACTAGAATCCAGATCACCCAAGTCCCAGACCCGTGTTCTTAACCACCACACCACACCGGCTCGCTCACAATCCCTAGTAGGATTTCAGCCTGCATGAATTTCAAGGCATGAAAAGAACTGCTTCGATTTAAAGGTCTCCAGGGGGTTTTCCCAGGCAGTGCGGAAATCTGATGATGATCATTATTCTACAATTGTTCTACCCAGCTATCATGGATAGACAGAAAGGTCAACCAGTGGGTCCTAGATCGGATCAAGCCAGAACTTCCCCTTGGAGCGAAAATAGGAAAACTGAGGCTGTTGTACTTTTGGGCACGTCTTAAGAAGGCAGAAGTGCCTGGGGAAGATGGCTATGATAGGGGAAGTCAGGCAGAAGATGAAAGGAAGACCAGCCATGCAAGAAAGGGATGGACTTCATCAAGGAAGCCACAGCCTTGAGCGTGCAGGAGCTGAGTGGGGTCGGGAAAGAATAGGGCGTCATGGGGGGCTTCATTCAAGAGCTGTCCCAAGAGACCCATTGCAACAACAGTCCCACCTCACCTGCAGTTCAGGGCCCTCTGCCATGCTACCGCTTCAGAAGGAAATGGGCAACTGGCTACTGCTACCCTGCCCATTGGCAGAACATGGGATGCTCCCTTCTCCGGAGCCGGTCCCTGCTGGATCCATCAGGCCCAGTATTGCCGACACTGACTGGCAGCAGCGGCTCCACAGAGTTTGAGCAGCTTTTCCAGCCTGGTCTTGTGATGCCTGGGGCTAAATCTAGGCCCTCTGCACCAGCAGGAGCTTGGCTACCAAGGACTGGTGGCTCTTCAAAGTGAACGAAAAGCTCCCCTTTGGTATCACAAAGAGGCCTGTGTATCGCTCAGTTTCTTAACTGTGCTCAGGAGTTCTGCCACCGAATGCACTGGCTCTGAGCTTGAATGGAAAGTCAAGCATTTATTTGTAAGCCACCCCGAGGCTTCAGCAAATGGGGCGGCATAGAAATTTTCTAAATAAAATAAAAAAATAAATCCTGTCCAGCCAGTGGGGGAGAGCGAGAAAAAACCTGCTGGAAGACCGGCAATGTGGGGCTGTGAGTTGGCTGGACATGCGAGTCCAGTGTCAGGCTGACCAGATTATTGAAAAGGGAGGAAAGACCCTGCTAGGAAGGTGAACTCAGTCTAACGTGTCAGGAACTCCTGAACCCAAAGCCGAGACTTGTCCTGCCATAGGGACTGGGGGGCTTGGAGCGGCTTGGTCCGGTCCTCCAGTGTGGCACAGCGGACTTCACGGCAGCTGCCCTAGTTGGGAATTCCTCAGTGTGGAAGCCACAAACAAGCAGCTTGCTGAGCCACTGCTGACCTTCAAAAGCCCTGGCTGTTTTGGCATCCACATGAGAATCCCTCTGGCTTTGGTTATGGTAAGTGGCAAATTTTGCAGCACGTGTGACTTCATCATTACATAGCCACATTCTGAAGATTTTTTTTTTCAAATGTGGGTGTGTTTTTTGCACACAGACACACTAGCTCAAGATTTTCCATCAGTTTCCTTGCACAGCAACAGGGAGAAGTATTTTATCTCCAAGAACAATCCCGTTCCAGCAGTTTTCATCTCTACCACGCACAGCTAAAGGTCTTAACTTGCCCTTC